GGCGAGGCCCGGGCGGCCAGGCACAGGCCGGGGGCCCCCCGCTGGCCCGGTGGCCACGCGCAGGTGCAGGCCCGGTGGCCACGTGCAGGCCCGGCAGCCACGCGCAGTCCCAGCGGCCACACTCAGGCTTGGCGGCCACTCGCAGGCGCAGGCCTGGTGGCCACACGCAGGCCCAGAGTCTATGTGCAGGCCCAGGGTCCATGCGCAGGCCCAGCGGTCATGTGCTGGCCCAGCGGCCACGCGTAGGCGCAGGCCTGGTGGCCACGCGCAGGCCCAGAGGCCACACGCCAGCCCCGGAGAGGCAGCGGAACACGGAACAGAGCCCCGGCCACGCAGGCCCGGGGGGCCACGCTGGTGCCGCCACCGCTGCGCTGGCCCTCTTCCATGATTTTTGAAGACAGTATAAGGAATATTCAAACTAATTCTGTTATGATTAAGAGAGGCAAAATAAATAACTGTAGCCACCGATAGGTCTTTTATGCCAGTAAAAGAACACAACTGCTCAAATGTTCTCCAAATGGTCATTTTGACTTTAGAATATTCTAAGATTCCTTCCAATATTTTGTCCAAACATAATTGTGTTTATTCTAAGTTATGTTAAGGTTATATTGTGTCTAATTTTCATACTTTCTCTTCTATTTATTTTATAAAAACAAGGACAAGTGAAGACATGGTGAAGTCAAGGGGACAGAGAGGAGAAAGAGCAGCTCAAGGAGGGTGACAGGAAGGAGTCAGCCTTCAAGGACAACTCACAGAGAGCACACAGAGTGGATCAATCATGTACAACTGATGGTAAACTCACTTTAGAGAAAATAATCACCATGGAACCTGTTGGTCCAACTTTTGTGGATTTTAACAGCATTAAAAAAATACAAATAGTAACAGTAGTTTTGTGATACAAAGCACTTTGGACCTCTCTTGGTCACAAATTACAAAGCTTGTTGTCTCAGGATGGGACAGTCCTCAAAACTTTACTTGGTCATCATAAAATCATAAAGGCTGGGGGAGAAAAGCAGGCAAAATATGTTTTTCATAAATTGTTTTTCACCAAAATTGAGGGTGACAGGTGCAGAGCCCCAGGGTAGAGAGATCCCCAGAGTTTCTGGATGGGACTTAAGTGGAACAGTAAAAAGCCAGGAAAGTCAGAGCTGCTCAGATTAAGCATGAGTCTCAGTAGCATGATTCCTGTAAAATTGCCGTTCTTAAATGCTTCTAGCTGTGTTTCTGTCTGTCACGCCAGTCTGGCATATGCTTTGGACAGGATGAAGTGAAACTGTGGGAGTGAGACTCCTCTGTGCCCTCCACAGAGTTGTCTTTCCTAAAAGACAGCTGAGCCTGCAGACAATGTCCAGTTGCACCTCCTCAGCTCACATACACAGGGCTTTTTATCTGTATTGGGCCAGTGCAGACATGTCATTACCTTTCATTAGTATCTTGCTACTTCTTCAGCCTTTACAAACGGTATGTGAGATGACACATTTTAGCTGTAGTAAATACCTGAAGCCAAGTGTCTACAAGGATGGGGACCTGGTACTGGCTGGGTTTTTCCCTCTTTATGGCATGGAGGAACAAGCTGTACTTACACAAAGTCATCTGATAAGGCCCACTCAAGAAGTGAAAGATGATTGGTAAGTTTTTGGTTATATGTATGTGAAAATGTGATTATGTGTGATAATGTAGTTTGCATATATATGTGTGTGTGATTAATCTCACTTGAGAATAATCAAGTGTGCACAGAAATGAGAGAAATGCAGAATTGTAAACTCAGGATCTTCCGTCTTTTTATCCTCTTACTATCTTTCTTTTTTTTATTATTTTCAATGTTTTTCCATTTATTTCAAGACAGAAAAGAGAAATTAATATAATTTGTTGCCTGCTTTACCCATACCCTCAGGGCCTCTCTCCAAACACGTCCCTACAGGTCCGGGACTTGAACCACGGTTGATCACGTGGGAGTTCGGCAACATAACCACTACACCATTTGCTGGTCCCAAGAGTAGCATTTTTATCAGGAGGGAGGAATTACAGGAATCAAAACAGTGACATGTAGGAACCAGCAGTTAGCATAATGGCTATATTGCTTGACTCCCATGTAGTCGACTACGGTTCGCATCCTGGACCCCATGGTTTAAAACTCACATCAGGTGCGTGTGCGTGCGTGTCCAAGATCCTGAGAAGAGAATGGAGGAGAAGGGATTGTGGTGTGGCCATCCCCCCTGGGGGTGATTTCTGTCTCTCTGTCTCTCTGTCTGTCTGGCAAGCACATGCACCCTATAGCAAAAACCTCTCAAAAAATAAATAAAATAAAGTTAATGTTAGCATCAAGGTGCTGAGTCTGGGTGCTCGCGACTGACTAGGGGGTTGTAGAAATGCTTTGTTGAAAATCATGGGTATGTAAAGGCCACCACAATATATTAATTAGGAAGGATGGCCACTTCTCAATTCAATCTCCATTCTCCTGTCAGGCATGCACATGTGCCCAGCATCATTTTCAAGCTGCCAGGCCTAGGACTTATACAATGGCCATCCACATGGAAATCCAGAGCCTTAAACACCATGCTACCTGCTTTCCCCTTCATACATTTTAAAGCAGAGTAAAGAATGCTTCCTTTATAGCCTCAGTAGAGAAGTGTGGCCATGAGATTTTGCAGTAGTTGAGTAATATTAGGTTCAAATCTGAATATAACAAGTAAAAATTTAAACTCAAAAAACAAGTTGGGGGGAAACCAGCAGTTAGTGTAATGGCTATGTCTCTGGACTCCCACGTAGTTGACTGCGGTTCACGTCCCAGACCCGGTGGCTTAAAACCCACGCCGGGCGCGTGTGTGTGCGTGCCCAAGATCCCAAGAGGAGAATGGAGGAGTGGAGGAGAAGGGATTGCAGCGTGGCCATCCCTCCTGGGGGGTGATTTCTCATTTTCTGTCTCTCTGTCTGTCTGGCGAGTGCACGTGCCCTATAGCAAAAACCTCTCAAAAAAA